AGGAAGGAGGGGGGGAGAAGGAATCGCTGCCGGCGCTGGGCTCCAACTGGCTGGGTGGGGAGAGAAATCGGGCCGTGGCAAGGGGCGCATCACCGCCACGCCGTTTGCATGCAGCATTCACCTCCCGCCTCCCAGCCAATGGCATGGCAGCAGCCTTGAGCGGCAGCTGGACGGCCAATGGCTGACGGAGCGCATTTTGTCCCCGCTCAGTCTTACGCTGCATCTTACTCAATTATATATAAGGGAGAGATGTTAACCTTTGATGTTTGAAAACTTTGTATACACTTGCTAGGACATTTGTTTGTTATATTATATTTAAAAAGTTAATAAAATATATATTTTAAAAAGTGGGGTTACACAAATTCATGGAGGAGAGGCCGATCAGAGGCCAACTAGCTATGGCGCAACCTCATTTGGAGTACTGTGTACAGTTCTGGTCACCACACCTCAGAAAGGATATTACAGCACTGGGAAAAGTGCAGAATGATCAAAGGGATGGAACACTTTCCCCTATGAAGAAAGGTTAAAGCGCTTGGGGCTCTTTCGCTTGGAAACACGACGACTGAGGGGTGACACGATCAAGGTCTATAAGATGATGTATGGGACAGAGCAGGTCGAGAAAGAAGTCCTTTTCTCCCTCTCTCACAATACAAGAACTCGTGGGGCACTCCATGAAATGGCTGAGCACTCAGGTTAGAATAGATAAAAGGAAGTCCTTCTTCACCCAGAGAGTGATTCACACACGGAATTCACTGCCACAGGAGGTGGCGGCAGCGACTACAAGCACAGGCGGCTTCAAGAGGGAATTAGATAAGCATCTGGAGCAGAGGTCCATCAGGGGCTATTAGCCACAAAGTATAGACAGGAACTCTTGGTCTGGGGCAAGGGATGCTCTGTCTTCTTGGTGCTTGGGGGGAAGGGTCAACAGTGGGAGGGCTCCTAGTGTCCTGGCCCCACTGCTGGACCTCCAGATGGCACCTGGTATTTCTGGCCACTGTGTGACACAGTGCTGGACTGGATGAGCCACTGGCCTAATCCAACATGGCTTCCCTTATGTTCTCTTAGCCACCAGGTATAGATAGGAACTCTCGGTCTGGGGCAAGGGATGCTCTGTATTCTTGATGCTTGGGGGGGGGGGCAACAGTGGGATGGCTTCTAGTGTCCTGGCCCCACTGGTGGACCTCCTGATGGCACCTGGCATTTCTGGGCATTGTGTGACACAGAGTGTTGGACTGGATGGGCCTTTGGCCTGATCCAACATTGGCGTCTCTTATGTTCTTATGTTCTCTTACGTTCTTAACAAGATTGGGGGGGTATAAGCTGGACCCTGGAGAGTCATGGCGAGGGATGGTGTCTCAGTGGCACAGCCTCTAATTGGCAAGCAGAAGGCCAACCCCTGGCATCTCCAGTTAAAAGGACCAGGCAGTAGGTGATGTGATAGACCACCACCTGAGACCCTGGAGAGCCATGGACAGGGATGGTGGCTCAGTGGCACAGCCTCTGCCTGGCATGCAGAAGGTCCCAGGTTCAATCCCCGGCATCTCCAGTTAAAAGGACCAGGCAGTAGGTGATGTGATAGACCACCACCTGAGACCCTGGAGAGCCGCTGCCAGTCTGAGTGGAGAAGACTGACCTGGAGGGGCCCAGGCTCTGATCCTGTAGAAAGCGGTTTGGTGTGTTCACATGACTGAGACAGCAGAGCGAGGGGGGCTGTCATGATCTGGGCTGTGCCACCAGAGGCCTACGAGGCCCAGGGAGCCTGGCTAGCAGTAGGTGAGGCTGGGCCTACAACTCAGTAGGTGAGGCTGGGCCTACAACTCCCAGAAGCCCCTGAGAGGCTTTGGAGCCAAAACGGACCAATAGGGAGGAAGAGGGCTGGGGAACAAAAGGGCTGGTGCCAGAGCAGAAGCGGTTCTTTTCTTCCAGAGGGCAGAGCCAGAAGGAAGGCTGCTGCAGGGGAGAGACCCTCATCCTGAGGGAGGGGTGAGTAGTCTAGTGCCAACTGGAATAGTGAGCTAGGGACAGTATATATTTAGACACGTTAGGGGATCTGATTTCTTTTCTTTTCACCCACTTGCTGTTAATATTCCTGCACCTTGTTGTTTGACCTCCTATAAAATAAACCTTTTCCTTGTTTCAATCTGCCTGCTCCACAGGCCTGTTATTCGGCCTAAAGGGAGGTCTGAAGGTCTTGGGAGGGTGCTCTGGGCCTTCTCAAGGGAGCCTGGAACCAGAGTGGTGGCAGCGTCCAGTGACACCCCCACCTGAGCCGTGACGGGGGCCATGGAGACACAGGTTTGGGGAGGAGAGTGGTTCGGGGTGGGTGAGGGAAGCGCCCACTTACTCTTCTCGTGGGTGAAAGTGTTCCAGTCCTCCTGAGAGTCCTTCTGCTTCTTCAGTACCACCAGCTTCCCGCCCTCCACGTCCACACTCAAGGTGTACTTCTGGGACTTCCCAATCTTGGTGAGGTCGCCCAAGGTCAGGTCCAGCTTCACCTGGGAGCAAAGTCGGGGGGAGGGGGGAGAAAAGCCATCAGGCCCTGCTGCAGACACAAGGCAATGAAGCGTCACTGTGGTGGTGGAGGGGACCAAACAGAGGATCCCGGGCGGGTGACTGGATCGTTGACCACCCCAAGGCAGAGACAGCACGTGCTCCTTTTTTTTTTTTAATTAGAAATAGTTGGAATAACATATAATTTCAAGCATAAAAAACATGTGTAGAAATTGTTATAAAACCGTTACAAATAACAATAACATTTGAATACAACTTATACTGGAACAAAAAGCTGGCCATTTGGCAGGTAGAAATATGCAGACTATCATTACTGGCTACGAAACACTATTCGTGCAATCTTAAGTATAAACATAAAGAAACTCTCTCAGTTTTTCAAATATAAACTAACCAGTGATCATCCATTCTGCATTTGACTTATCAAGGATACTTATCCTAGAAAAATCCGTATGCCCTAAAAAGAACTCAACGAAAGGTGGCCATTCCTTAACAAAACAAGATTTACCTTTTTCTGAGTTAACCTGCTCTAATTCTATTGTGATTTTATCAAAAACAAAATAGTCCCAAGACTTATTTAACCATTCCTGTAAAGAAGGTGGTGTTGTAGTGTTCCATTTAGTAGCCAGGAGTGATTTGGCTGCTGAAAATAAAGTAGCTATTAATTCCTGTGTATATTTAGGAATTGAAATTTGGGTCTCTTCCCAAAGATTTAAAAGTATTATTTTGGGTGATTGAGAGCATGTGCTCCTTTAATTTATTTATACAATTTGTATCTTCGCCTTTCTACCCTTACAGGGGCCACCAAGTTGACTAACAGCTCAAACATACATTTTTAAACAACTGGAATCAGCCTCCCCCAGGACACACATCATTTTAACAATTAAAAAGCTGAGAAGAAGAAGAGATGGGATTTATATCCCGCCCTTCACTACCCAAAGGAGTCTCAGAGCGACAGCTCAAAACATACATTTTTAAACCACTGGAATCGGCCTCCCCCAGAACACACATCATTATAACAATTAAAAAGCAGAGAAGAAGAAGAAGAGATGGGATTTATATCCCGCCCTTCACTACCCAAAGGAGTCTCAGAGCGGCTAACCATCTCCTTTCCCTTCCCCTCCCCACAACAGACACCCTGTGAGGTAGGCGGGGCTGAGAGAGCTCTCTCGAGGACCGCCCTTGAGAGAATCTGTCCCCTTGAGATTGGGCGTAATTCTGGGGGGGGGGGGGTCTCTCCAGGCCCCACCTGGAGGTTGGCATCCCTAGCTTGTGTTCCTGTGACTTCTGGGAAGTCAGCAGCGCTCCTGACTGAACCGGCTGCAGCAGGTATCGACCCCTCCGATTTAAAAACACACACACACACACACAACCCTAATCAACCACTTTTAAATTCATACGGGCGAGAAACCTGGGTTTTTTAAAGTGAAAAGCCGATACTTTTGGAAGCTGAGTTTTGCCGGAACTCCCGCAGAACTGTAACGACACAGAATCCTACCGTAGGTGGCATAGAAGACTTTTTTTTGGGGAGGGGGGGAGAACGTTACCTCAAAGGCTTGTACGGGAAAGCTCTTTGCTTTGCGGGAAGAAGGCTGGCCAAGTCCTGGCTGAGGTGTGGAACTCATGTCCTGGAGAGCTTTCAAGGCCTGTGTGGGGCCAGAGGGCAAGACAAGATAACCAGCCTGCTCCAAGGTAAAGGCAAAGGTCTCCCTTGCTCGAAAGCCAGTTGAGTCCGACTCTAGGGTTGCGGTGCTCATCTCCGTTTCCATGCCGAAGAGCCAGCGCTGACCGAAGACGTTTCCGTGGCCGGCATGACTAAAGGCCAAGGGGCACGGAACGCTGTTCCCTTCCCACCAAAGTGGTACCTATTTATCTACTTGCAATGTCTTGCTTTCGAACTGCTAGGTTGGCAGGAGCTGGAACTAGAGACGGGAGCTCACGCCGTCTTGCGGCACACTCGGGTCTCGAACTGCTGAACTACCGACCTTCCACAGCCTGCAGTTCAGCGTCTTAACCACTTGAGCCACCGCAGCTCCTTTGCCTGCTC